ATATTACTCAGCCATAAAAAATTATGGAATACTGCCATTTGCAACAACATGGATAGCTCTTGAGAGTATTATGCTAAGTGAACTAAGTCTAATGGAAAAGGACAAGAACCATATGATTTCACTCATATTTAGGATATAAAACAGAAAGCAATGAATGAACAAACAAAACAATCAAATTCATCGACACAGAAAATAGCTTCGTTACCCGAGGGAAGGAAGGGGAGGATGAAGAGGGTAAAGGAAGTCAGATATGTGTCGAAGGAGGGAAACTGGACTTTGGGTGGTGAGCACACAATGCCATACACAGATGATGTATTATAGAATCATACACCTGAAACTTATATAATGTTATAAACCAATAATACCCCAATAAATTTAATTAAATAATAAAGGACAGTTGTTTACTAGCCTTCTAGATAAATTTAACATTCTCAATCAAAATTGTTTTCTGCAGGAAGTTCAGAGTTGATGAATACATCTATGTGCCAAACTGGTGGCACATCCCAGCTTCGTGGAGACAGAAGCTCCTGTGCTCATGACCTTTCCAGACCTCTCCCTGTGTACCTCTTCATCCAACTGTTCAATTTTAATACCACCAGTAATGGGACAAATAAACATCTCTCCTCTTGATATGAAGCACAGAGGACACACCTCACTTCTATGGTTCTCCTGGCAAAAATAAGTGCCTTCAATCTAATGACTAGGAAACATCAGAAAAAAATTTTGAGGTATGCTGCAAAATAACTGGCCTGAACTGTTAAAAACATCAAGGTCATGAAGGACAAAGACAGACTGAGGAACTGAACTGAATCGAGCAGGATAAAGAGGATGGAATTAAATGCAACTAGTGATGTCTCACTGGGCGCTGGCCCGGAAAAAAAAAAGTTTGCCTTTTGCTGTTAAGGACATCACCGTGACAGTTGATGAAATTTGAATAAACTCTGTAGAATGAATTATTGTATTGTATCAATGTTAACTTCCTAATTTTATGATTGTACTGTGCTTATGTGAGAGAATGTCTTTGTTTTAGGAAATACACTCAAAATTATTTTGAGGTAAAGGTTATTATGTCTATAACTTAATCTCAAGTGTTTTGAGAAAAAGGATTATGGGAGAGAGAATGAGAATGAGAAAAACAAATGTGATGAAATGCTAACATTTAGGTAATCTGGGTTAAGGATATAAGGAAAATATTTGTACTGTTTTTGTGACTTTAATGTATGCCAAAAATTATTTCAAAATTAATGTTTAATTTAAAAAATAAAATTGTTTTCGCCACAGCTTCTTTAATTTTAAATAAACCTTAAATGATATTAACGTTCCACCTTTCAATATATACTGTAACAGTAGCAAATGCATAGTGTTTACTGTGTGCTAGCCATTGTTACAAACACGGATAAATACTGTAACCCACTCAATCCTCACAGCAGCCTTGTGAGGTGAGTACTGCCCTTATTACCCCTTCCACAGATAAAACACCTGAGGCGCAGAGAGGATTAGAAAACTTGCCAAGTCCCACAGAAGCGGGTGGAGCCTGGTCTCTGGCTCTGCCCACTTTGGAAAAGCCAGGTGCTGCTACATCCACTCTAACACTGGAGCTAAAGTGTTTTAGTGCGACTGCTTTAGTCTCCTTTTTCTTGCTTTTATTTTCTTGGAAAAATTTTTAAATAGTTTTAAAAACATGTTAGAGTTTATTTTGCTCTAATTATGAGAATTTTGTGGGTGATCTGTGCCACATGGTGCCCTTCCCATAGCTGTAATACCTGCTAATAGTATGAGGCCCTGTCTCCACCAGATCTCTGTGTAGTGAGGAGGTAAGGAGACCCAGGAAACTAACCCTCCAGAATACAGCAGGATATCCTTCTCCTTTTGTTATTGTTGTTGTTGACTTTAACATTTGCTTAGTATTGTGGACCATTAACACTAAACAATGTCACCAACACATATTTAAAACCTGAAAAGGCAGACTGTCTTCTTCACAATACTTTAAGCATTCATGACGTGAGATCACCTTGAGATCAGCTTTAACATTAGTGCATGGTGGTAAATTTATTACTACTTTTCCCAAAAGGGTTATCTCCTATTTAACATAAATCAAAATCAAGTTTAACAGTTGGAGGGCTTAAGTAATCTTTGAAACATGTTTATTTTTCTTGCCGCAGCATTATTTGATTAAAGAATCTGAATAATCATCACTGTCCTACTGGATACTGCAATACAGTGACTTATAAGTTTATTTTACCAATACAAGGTTTTCTTGTTGTGGAAAATACAATTATCGAAGCATCAGCCACCTCCCTTAAACAGTCTCCTTGATAACTGTTTCTCTTCCACCTCTGACTTTAAGCTATTTCAGCAAGTATTAGGACTTAATTTTAACCAAGAAAAAGCCGGGGAAGTGAAATCTAAACTAGGCCATTTGTTACTCATTTATTATCCTACTAAGGAAGATGGAAGGAGAGGGGAGACAAGTGACTGGTTTAAAAAGTTACTTAGTAGTGTAAGCTGATTCGTGATAACTCTGTAGTCTTCAACTACTGCTGATCTGTGCCAGGGCAGGAGAGTTTCCAATAGTATAATCGTATAGCTCTTTCTTTTAACTAGTGCAATCAACACCTACAACCTTAATTTAAAATACATTCTAAATAAAATCTCTCTAGCAGATAGGTCCCTAAAGTTTTCTTTGCTCTTTCTTAATTTGTCTTACCACACTAATATCAGAAGCATGGTTTTGCTGACACCAGCACATGGATGTTGTCAGTTGAATTTCAACATTCAGACTGGAATAATGCCAATGGAACACAAACACGCCATTGAGTGGGTGTAAGAACCAGGGAAAGAACTGAGGTTAGGAGTCGGGAGGCTTGTGAGCTGGCATTTACTGGTCATGTAACTTGGTTGACTCACTTAACTTCTCTGAGGCTCGTTTTCCCATTAGTAAATTGGGGGTAAAAACCCTTACCCTACCTACCTCAACAGTCATCATAATGATCAAATTAAATAATGTACATGACAGTTCTTTCCAAAACTTTATACACATCTTAGCAAAGCTTTAATTGTCTTTTCACTTTATCAGTCCCTATAGCTTTGTCTTCTTTATATTGTCATATAAACGGAATCACACAGTATGTGGTATCTTGGGTCTGGCTCCTTGTACTTAACATAATGCCTTCGAGACTCATCCAAGTAATAATCTGTTGCTTCAGATTAGAATCACCTGGGGGTGCTCGTTAGACTCTCAGCTTCAGACCTTCTGCGTCAGTGTCTGAGCTACTCAGTAATGTGTATTAGCAAGCACACCCATGTTACTTTTATGTGTGACTAAAGTCAGAAACCCTCAGGTATTCTAGAATGAACAAGAATATCAGAGTTAGATGGTTCTGAGTTTGAATCCAACTCTGCCATTTACTAGATGTATAAAGATGGGAAAATTACTTAAAACTCTCTGCACTTATTTTTTTTCCTTTGTACTTGGAAATAATTTATTCACCAAATATTTTGACAGGCATAGCTCTAGGAACCAGGATTGCAGTAGTCAATACGAGAAAGTCCATGCCTTCATGGAACACAGAGCACCATACCAACTGTATAAGCACATAATACATGAGACAATTTCAAATTTCAGATAGCAATACTCTGTAGAAGATGAAACAAGGTTTTGACATAGAGGGTACCTTAGTTAAGATACAATCTAGGCTACTTGTAACAAAGAAACTAAAAAATACATTTAAACAACATAGAAGTGTTTTCTCCTTTGTAACTGTCTAGAGGAGTTGGTGAGGACAGAGGTAGGATGGCTATGTCATCGACTAGGATAAGGATAATTGGGACAGGATCTTCTCCCAGAGAAACTGTGAATTTGGGATGGAAGTTTCAGTTTCCTTTGTCACTATTTTTTTTTCTCAAAAGAACCTATGTGAAGGATATATAAAAAATTGGAAAATGACGAAGTAACTATTAAATGTGATTTTGATGGATTGTTCATTATACTGAGGATGGATTTTCAACTGGATATCAAATGATATCAAACTAACTATTTCTTGCTGATAATGTCCTATGTCTTGATCTGGGTGGTGGTTTAAATGGGCAAATTAACTGTGATAATTCATTAAGCAAGTTCTCATTAATATGTTTATGATTCATGCACTTTTCTGTATCTAAGTTATATTCATACTTCAATTTAAAAAAAAAAGACAAAGGAAAGCATCCCTGAGTTTACTGTGTTCAGCATTGTCACAAAGGTCTGTCAGGACTAGTGGATCTTAGTAATATCTGTTCAATGTAAGCTGGGTTTTCAACACACAAAAAATTTGCCACAAATCCTGATTCTCATTTGAAACGGCAGAGAAAATACTCAACCGCCAGTACAGAATTCTAAACTAGAGGTTCCCACATGACCCATTAGGTGGCATTTCTTGCAGAGTTTATGCTCATACATTCCAGATTTGAGACCTCTCTCATCTCTCTGGGCCACTGCTCACTGCTTTCATGAGGGCCAAGAAAAGGCCAAGTCTTTCTCTTATATCTTTTTATCTCTAAAGCCGTTTCTG